GGATCAGTGCCTCCAAATCCAAGGCCATGGTCTTGAGCCAGAAAAGCGTAGAGTGCCCTCTCCGGGTCAGAGGGGTCATCCTGCCTCAAGTGGAGGAGTTTATGTATCTGGGGATCTTGTTCACAAATGAGGGAAGAAGGGAGCGGGAGATCGACAGGTGGATTGGCGCAGCGTCTGCCGTGAAATGGGCGCTGTACCGGTTCCTCGTGGTGAAGAGTGAGCCGAGTCAAAAAGCGAAGCTCTCAATTTACTGGTCAATCAACGTTCCCACCCTCATCTATGGTCATGAGCTTTGGCTGAGAGGTTGATAGGCAACTGTATATTTCTGTTCCAAGCCCGAGCAGAAAATGTTTTGCAAGCCAGCAGAGAGGTTTGCAAGCAGAGATTTGATCTGAGCAGAGACAAGTTTTGAGCATGAGGAGAAAGGTTTGAGAAAGCACAGAGAATATTTGAAAGAGAGCAGACGTTTTGAGTACAAGCATTGCAAGTTTTGAGAAGAAAGACATGAAGTCCTGCTTTCAAATTGAAAATATATGCTCTCGAATTATGGCAGAAAAATTCCCCCATATCTCTTTGCTTCAGCACCCCTGTCTCAAATATTAGCTCATTAGCAAAGCTCCGAAGAGCCTGACTGCATTCTAGGGAGATAGTTTCACCATTTATTTCAAGAGTAAAGACACTTGAAATAAATGTGTAAGGACACATGTAAATGTGTCCTCAAGGGTCCCTTGAGGAATGCGGTTTGAGGCCACTGCTGTAGAGGCTTGTAACGCTGGACCCCAAAACCTTAATGACCCAAGGCCCGTCTTTCAAGAAAAGAAGGACGCCACGCCTCAGCTGACGATAAGACGACTTGTGGACAGCAGGAGACGCCATTGTCAAACTGGAGTTCTCAACGTCACATTAGACATTGACATGACCATCACTGCTGTAGGCTTTTGTTACAGTGTTTGAGATGAAAGTGAAATATCTAAAACTTTTTCTTAGTAAGTATACACGTAGACAGTTAAGTTGTATATCTTAACGCTACACATTCATTCTCCATACTTACGATGTTTGGTGATACTGCAGATGACTCCAGATATCTGTTTGTACAGAGTCTCCAGCTGGTCAAATTTATCCACATAGAAGACATTGGACTGATTATTTCCCGCCATGATCAGCAGCTCAGTCTTGTTTGCATTCTCTACACCTATACTGAAGACAGTAATGTTATTGGCTCGCAGCGCATCCGAATTTTTTCTTAGGTTATTAGGGTTTGTGGCTGCCCCATCTGTGATCACCATGAGAATCTGAGGAACGCGGAAACTTCTCCTGCCACCGTGTTCCTCGTTAAAGAACTGCAATGAATATTCCAAAGCTTCGCTGGTGTATGTGTTATCTTTTGGCGGCACCAGAGCTTTTATAGCATTACGAATGTCTCCTTTGGAGCTGTAAGTATTCAGAGTAAACTTGATTTCAGGTTCATTGGAGAAAAGAATGGCTCCAAAACGGGTAGAGTTCCTGCTGACTATGCTCCGGTTCACTACAGACTCCATAAACACTTGCATGCTTCTGAAGCGGTTTTCTATGCTTCCTGAGCCGTCCACCAGGAATATTATATCAGCCTTTTCAATCTTCTTACAATCTGTGAGTGGAAAAAATGAAGACAACATCAGCTTGTATGACCGCTGTGAAACCCAAGCTTTCAACCTGATGACAGCAAGTCGTTCCTGGAAACATTTCATGACAGCTGCGTCGAACAACAATGATCCAAACAGTTTGATTGAAGAACGGTCCTCACTATCTTTTATTCTATCCTTTGTTCTTTATCTAAGATATAAAATTATAAACAATGGAAAAAATTAAATACTTAAGCAGATAGTCATTGTCCAATCTCACCTCTCTGTGGATCGCAGAACTTCAAGGCCAGCATGCTGTCCAGTTCACTTATTAGATCAACATTTACTTCATTGATGACTTTGTCTGAAGAGCTACTGATTTCGTACAGCTGGCTGTAGTTACTGTTCACCACTCCGATTGAAAAGATTAACACTCCTTTTTGCCTCAGAGCCTCTGCTGGACCTTTGAATTCATCGGTGGCCTTGTTGAAGGTGATCAGCACCAGGTTCTGCCTCAGCGTAGGACGTCCTCCTTCAGCCTCACTGAAGAACTGTGAAACTTCAGTGAGGGCCCTTCCTGTTTCAACCCCGCCATTTTGCTGCTTCATGTTATCAATGGCTTCCAGTATTTCATCTTTGCTGAAGTACTGGTTCAGACGAAACTCTACTTTTGTCCTAGTGCTGAATTGCATGACACCCACACGCATGTCATTCAAGCCCACAATAGACTTGGTAACGACAGATTTCATAAATTCTTTCATTTTCCTAAAGTCTTCTGCAGAGATTCTCTCTGAGCTCTCGGTTAAGAAGATGACGTCGCTGGGAGCGTCCTCACAAACTGGAGACAGAACACAAGAACATCAGTTAGTATGATCCGGTCCAAATGTAACTGCAGAGCTCAGCTAAACGGTTCTCTGGTTCCCTCAACAGAAAACTATCAAGTTTTCACATTCTCTGAAGGATTTCCCAGAAGTGCTCTTTGGCATATACTCCCACACAAGATATCATTATATTTTGCATATTATGGTAAACATTAACAAAGGCAAGAGATTTTAAAGTCTAATTAATTAAATGTAACAGCGTGGTGTGTAATCCAGAACTGGAACTCATCCTATAAAGTGCTGCTGGAATAAGTCTTAGGTTTGATCTGTTTCACATGTTGCACTTAGATAACAAGGTCTGACTTTACAGAGAAAACTGACCTGTAGAGTCATGACAGTTATTGTTCTCCTGAGTCATAAGTCATTTTCCGTTTACAGGAAAATATAAACACAAATCAGATTGTCTTATTTTTTATGGCAAAGAAGGCATTTTCTATACGGTATGGAAGCCTGTGCATTAAAACATATTAATCACGATAACAGAAATGTGCGTTGATTAGCATTGATATTTGCTCATCATTGTCCAATATTAAAATTTTTTGAGGATTTAAAACATTTAAATATGACAGAAATGGAAAAGGTAAAACAAAATGTTTGTTTAGGTCCTTTTTGAGACTTTATATTCTATAACAGTTTGTACTGGAGATATGAAGTTATGTAATCTAACATGTTGATAAAAACAATGTACCATTTGTAGTGCATTTAGTATTAGTGAAATGTCTTTGCTGGTTTTGATATGGATCCAGCTTTCTGGATCCATATCAATTTGCCTAACGCCCCAAGCGCTCCACTGACGTCGCCATAGCAACAGCACTCCACCTCCGCCCGGCTCATCACGTTGCTGTTCATTGACTTCAGCTCTGCGTTCAACACTGTCATGCTGAGTTCAACAGGCATCAGCACTTCACTATGCAACTGGCTGCTGGACTTTCTAACAGACTGCAGACAGTCAGAGTTGGAAACAACTCCTCAGTGACCAGCATCATAAACACCGGGGTGCCGCAGGGATGTGTGCCAACTCCCTCGCTGTTCACACTGATGACCCACGACTGCAGTGCCAGATTTGAAACGAATCACATCATCAAATTCGCAGATGAAACGACAGTGGTGGGCCTCATCAGAGACAACGCTGACTCAGCGTACAGAGAGGAGGAACATCAACTCATCAACTGGTGTGGGAGAAACAACCTGCTACTCAGTGTCAACAAAAGAAATAACTGTGGACTTCAGGAAAGAAAAACCAACTCACATCCCACCATCATCAATGGCAGCACAAAGTTCCTTGGAGTGCGCATCACAGACGACCTCACATGGACTACAAACACCTCCCTGGTCAAAAAGGCTCAGACACGACTCCACTTCCTGCGGAGGCTGAGAAGAAGAGCCCCCCTCCCCACATCTGCTCTCAGCACCTTCTCCAGGGAGCCACTGAGAGCATCCTGACCAGCAGCCTCTCTGTCTGGACAGCAGCTGTCTATCTGCAGACAAGAAGCCACTCCAGAGGGCGGTGAGGACCGCAGAAAAGATCATCAGATCCCTAACCCTGTTCCAAGAGAGCAATGGACATACTGAGACCCCACTCAGCCAGCACACAAACTGTTCTCCCTCTACCATCAGGGAGGCCACCGCAGCTTATGGTGTCGCACAAGCAGACTGGGAAACGGCTTCTTTCCACAAGCTATCAGACTCATCAACACATTGAAGTAAATGAACATTTCCTTCACACACCACTTGCTCTTTACTCTTTGCACCTTGCATACAGCATCTGCATCACCTCACATTACCTGTATGTCCACTGATTGCACTTCTGCTGCTATGTGTGTGTGTGTGTGTGTGTGTATGTGTGTGTGTGTGTGTGATTGTGTATTTATTGTCCATCTATATATTCCTCTTATTGTCTTCTTATTGCACAGTGTATTGCAGTGTGTGTATGTGTGTGGGAGGGTTACTGTCAATGTCTTATTTATATGTTTATATGTTTAATTGCACATTGGAGTCTGATGAAATGCAAGTTCAAACTTCTGTGTTAACCCTGTTACATAGATCTTTGACAATAAAGTTCACTTGACTTGACTCACCTGCTGGTCCACAGATTGGTCTTAGAATATCGTTTTTGATCGACTTGAGGAAATAGTAATCTCTGACTTTAAAGGTCCTGTCTGGATCACCAGAGATCTCCTGCAGTTGAGCTTTGTTTGACCTCTTTACTCCAACAGCAAAGACCATGACGCCTTGCGCCCTTATTTTCTCTGCTGGACCTCTGATGCTGTCTTCGGACTCTCCTGCAGTGATGACGATCAGATACGTTGAACCCTGACTGTAGGGTACCGTCTTGAAATGCCTTTCCATGAATGTGAGGGCTCTCCCTGTGTTGGTCCGACCCCCTTCATGATTAATGTAATTCAGAGCTTTGCTCACGTCTAAGAGTGACATCCGGTCAAACTCAAACCGAGCTGAGTTGGAGTATTTCACAAGCCCGATGCGAATATGATCGAGTCTGTCACGAAATTCTCCAAGAAAGTTATTGATGAACTTCTTTGTGTCAGACAGGTCAGAGGAATCGATGTTGTCCGAGTCATCAATGAGGAAGATGATGTCTGCTTCATCCTTCTGATAGCATGCTGGAAACAGAACCGCTGCAGGTTAGTGTGATGCTACTCAACAACAAACGTGACACACTAGTTTGTCTTGTGTTTGTGGTAAGCAGTGATGTTTTTCTGTCCTTCAGTCAGTGGACTGAGTTGTGTGACGCCACTAGATCGTCCCTAACTCGATCTACTGACAGAACCTGACTACAGGCATTTCTTTGGAGAAATTTAGGGTCCCATTTGCTGAAAAGCTGAAGAGAGACATACAAATCTACAAAGCAATGCCTTCAACTGAAGAAAATTTAAAATTTGGATGGGGAGAATCCTGATCTGATACAAGTCATAAAACTGTGGAGTAACTGCAGAGCGCGATGCCAAGACGTGTCAAACAGGGACTTGGAGAACCTCTGGAAGACAGAGTGTGAAAAATTAACCAAAGAAAACTAAGTGATGAAATTAAATCAAAAGGTGCTTCAACAAAGTATTAATTTAAAGTGAACACAATTCAGTGAGGCTTTAGTAAGATACATGCCACATTAAAGGTAGAAAATATCAAATTATTTATCATGGTCTAACTTTTTACATCGCAGACATTTTAACAGGCGTCTACAGACTTTTCTGTAACCTTGGCTGTAAATAGTGTGAGACGTTTCCCACCTTCCTTGATGTCGGCGTTGTTTTTAAAGGAGTTGACGGACCCCTGAATGATGGCACTGCAGATACTCTTCTGCATGACTTTCCTCAGGGGTTTCAGTTGCATGAAATTGTCCACAGCAAAAACGTGCCTGTTGGTGGGATAAGACGCCATGTCGTACAGGTCTGGTGTCTTCTCATTTACTCCTATCGCAAAAACTCTGACTGGAAACCAATGTAGCTCTGCCACCGCTTCCTTCACGCTGTCCTGCGATTTACTGTCTGTGACCACGATAGCTACCTTCTGCACATCCTCCCTTCTGCCCCTCCCTTTGAAGACTGACTCCAGGGTGAACCGCAGAGCAGCTCCAGTGTTGGAGCCACCGCCGCGGTAGGGGAGCAACTTGATGAACTGCTGAGCTTCTGTTTGGTCCTGGAAGCTGTCGAGATAAGCATGGGCCTTGGGAGCCTCGTTGTAGGTAACAATTCCCACTCTGACTCCCGTCTGATTGACGTTCAGGCTGCCAATAAGCGACTGCACAAAGCTCTGGATGAGCTGGAAGTTGTTGTTCCCGATGCCTCCTGACTCATCGATGATGAAGACGACGTCTGCAGTGTTGACTCTCTGACAGTCTGTGGAAACGATGCAGGAAGTTTATGAGATTGTCGTCTTAAGATTCACAAAGTTTTAATCAACAGCTTGTTAAATTACCACAAACAGATCAACTAACATGACATGGACATTGATTCATTGTAAATCCTGTAATTTACTCACATTACACCACAGAGATGTAGATGTCAGTGAGACAAGCCCTGGATTGTCCAAAGGTAATTTTACCTATATGATGGTTGTGTGTCATTAGTGGAGGTGTTACAAAATGTGTAATTACACTAAAAATTGTCATTAAATCTTCTTCGGCTCCACACTCGTAGAGAATGAGTATATTGTTTTAAAGCCGTACACATGTGGCCAGTTGATGTTAGCTAGCAAGATCAGCTTTCTTATTTCTATGATTATAATATAGAGACAAGTCATGGTTCATGTATAATGAGCCATGACTTAAAAATTGAGTTTGCTTACAGCCCTAGTTATCAGTCTCTGTTGTTGGAAGTGTTGGTGATCTGATTCAGTTCACTATTTCTGTTCATCTCAGATACCTTGTAACAGGCTGAAAGCTCCTACCTTCAATGGCTGTTTCCACTTCTTGGGTGGTGAAGAAATCCTTCAGCTGAGTGATCCTCAGATTGTCATAGGCCCTGTCCGCAAAGCTTAGCATGCTTTCCACTGACACAACCGGACTCATGCCTACAACAGAAACCCCTCGGGATTTGACATCTTGACTGGCCGAATATAAGAGTCCCTTCGGCTTTTCTCCAACAACAACAACCAGAAACTGTTGAGCTCCTTGGTTTGCACGGCCGCCATTTTCAGAGAGGAAAAAGTTATCACCTGCGTACCTCAGAGCACGTTCCAGGTTTGGTGCTTGGCCAGTTTGTGGCAGCTGTCGAATGCTTCTCAATGCTTTTGTGTACTGTGGTTTAGTTTTATGATCGTTTAGATAGAACTCAGTCTGCACATCCTGGCGATACTGAGCCAAACCGACATGGTAGCTTCCCTGTCCAGCGTCTATCTGGTCGATAAATCTGATCAGCTCATTCCTGAAAAAGATGAACTGTCGCGGACTTAAGGCGCTGTCCACCAGGAGAAAGATGTCTGCAAATTTATTGGCCAAAGCTGGAAGAAGACAGAAAGAAAAACAAACTTAACACCAAATCCAGAAAATTCAGTTCAAATCCAAAAATATTTCTTTAATCCCAAAGGGAAATTAAATGGTTGAATAGTCAGAAAAGTTCACTGCAAAAAATCATGTTGGTGCAACCACAGTTCTATTAGGGTCCCAGCAACTGGGCTCAGAGGATGACTGATCCGTTTTCATTAGGAAAACTGATAGATTTAAAATATTTTGTGTTTTTTGGGGGAGGAGCAACTTCTTCATAACCATCTATGTGTATGGACACAGAAATAGTTAATAAGCAGACTTTTGCAGAACTTTCTGACCTTCCAGTGAGGTAATTGAGCCTTTCCTCTTCAGGCAGCTTGAGGCAGGGATGCCTCTAAACGTTGCAGGACGGTGGCATTCGGGGACTGCAGCCAGTGGCGCCAAAAGTGGGTATGCAGCACATGGGGCGCTGCACCACAGGGGGCGTCAAAGCCCTGTCTGGAAGGGGCGGCGCCCCGATGATGCCTTCACTTCACTTCGCCCTTACGCTCCTTCACCTCGCGCACATGTAAATGTAAATGTAGCGAGTTTTACCTTTCACGTGTCTTCGTCTCGGGTGGGACATACGATCGCTCATACCGATAGAGCGACCGTATGTTTTCTACACTCCTTGACCCTTACGTACCTTCCTTTTTTTTGGGGGGGACAGGAGCATTTATGTTTTCGCATCCACCTGAATAATATGTAGTTGCACCCCTGACTGCAGCCGGAGGTTTCAACAGCTTCCAGTCTGTGTGACCTGAGCCTGGCCACCGCCTTCCTCTGCAAGCCTGCTCTCTCTCCACTAATCCAAAGTCCCATTGACATGGACTTCTCTGGTAGACTTTCTACCGGGTCCGTCAGCGAACAGAAGGAGAAGTTGTAAACGAGGACGTTGGTTTTTGTGTTTTAGAATTGCAGTCAGCCTGCAGTTTGAGAGGCGAAGGAAGTTTAGGAAGCCGTTCAGTTGGTCACAGTCGCCTTGTTTGGATCGCGTTACAGTGGAGGACGGTTGTCCACTCCTCCAGGAAACAACCGTTTGTCGACAGCCGAGAGTCCAGACCCTCTGGATGAAGCAGTACGAGGGGCTGCTTCATCTGTGACGCTTTGCTTTTATGTCTGTTCCTTTAAGCAGCAGATCAACGGCGTCCAAACCTTTTGACATGATGGCCAAAGCACTTGGGGGCCGCAAAATATTTTATTTTAAACAAATTTTGTGCCCTTTTTATTTTACCTGCTCAATGACAATCTAAACATGCAAGATTTTATTGTTCATTTCATTTCTTGAAGCAAACAAAGTACTCAAATGTTTGAAGTATAATTTTTGCTGTAACTTTTATTTGTCTAAGCCAAACTAAGACGCTCTGACAGATCAAGGAAAGTGACCGTCTGCATCAACCGCCTGAGCTTGCAGGTCAGATTTGTTCCAGTGTAGATATAGTGGGGGGAGAAGAACTGAAATCAACTGAACCCTCAGATGGACGACACCTTACCTATTTTCTGGATCTGCAGGGAGGAGCACACGGTTTTCAGCAGAGTGTTTCTTAGACTCTGAAGAGTCTGGAAGTTGTTGGTGGTCAGGATGTAGTCTTCTGGTGGGTGGTTGGCGATGATCTTCAGCTGATCATAATTGCTCTGAGACACTCCAATGACAAACACAAAGACGTTCAGGTCCCGGAGACGCTTGGCGGGTTTGGACACATCATCGTTGGAGTTTCCATCAGTTAAGAGCACAGCGATCTGAGGAACATGCTGCCTGGCTCTGCTCCCTGCCTCGGCCGTAAAGTATTCCTCCCGGATGAAGTCCATGGCTTTGCCCGTGTTTGTGCCACCGCGAAGGAAAGCAATTTGCTCCACTGCGTCCAACACGGCTGTCCTGTCCATGTGGTCTTTCAGCAGGAACTCCTTCTTGGGACGGTCTCCGTACACAGCCAAGCCGACCTGTACTTTATCAGGGCCAATGTCGAGGTTCTGGATGACATTTCTGAGAAAGGTGCGGATTATCCTAATGTTTTCCTCGCCGATGCTACCGGAGCTGTCGACTAGGAAGACGATGTCCCCCAATGTGGCGTTTTGACACTCTAGAAAGAAAGATCAATGTGATGAAAAAACGGTTGATTTAAAGAAACAAAGCTCAACTCTAGAGTTTTATGTCTGTAATCAGCTTGGATTTTAGGAGCTGGAATATCACATACAACATCACCAAGACCAGGGGGAGAAACTCCTCAGACATTTTTACATGAGCAGCAGCTTCACAGAAAACAGAAAACTCTGACAGTGAGGAAAACCTTCGCCAGCCGGCAGCGCCGGAGGAGAGGCGATCAGGTCAAAGGTCATCTTCCTCACCGGAAATTTGAAGTTCTGGCTGAGCAGAGATGGCCCAGAACCCGGCGGTGGCGATGATGATGAGGACCGCGGCCCCCCTCATGTTGGATGCTTGGTGGTTTCACTTCCTGCAGAAAACAGAGTTAGTGAGGATCTGGACCGAAGAACGGCTGAGATCAACCGTTTCTATCAGAAACCAGAAAAATAACTTCTGGTCAGACCTGAGACCTTCTGCATGACGACCTTTAGATGACCCAGCTTTCGGTTTCCATTGTCTTCAATCCTCATTTCTTTGTTTTTAAGCATCTATATGAATCATGGAGGTTGTGGTATTTTGATTCGGTTTTTAGTGTTAGCGTTTCCCGCTTTGCCTCAGCAGATGTTTCTGTCTTACCGGGAGCCTCGGTGTTTCTGTTCAGGAGATTTTCACCGAATGGTTTCTGGACACTCTGCAGACTGGTTCTAACGGGGCGGACAGCACTGGCATAGTGCAAAACCAGCCTGTAGCTCCATTCCTCCTTCTAGGTGATTTTCCAGTCAGCTGATTAGTTTTTCAATCTGTCCAGGTTCTGATTCCTGAAAGCTTTGCTGACATTTTCTGACAAAGATTTTTATTCATGCTGAAGAACTCCAGACTCCATCCTGCAGAAGGATGAAGCTCTGAAACTCAGCGTTCATTCTCACCAGCCCTGATCAGTCCGCTTTAATCCAACTCCAGTCCGTCTGTCAGTCCGGTTCGGTTCGACCTCTGACCTCTGGTCCTCCAAACCTCGGTCTGGGTTCGGTTTGAATGTGAACACCAAGTGGACCAGAAGCAGCTCCAAAAGCAGGCAGTGGACTACAGCGCAGGGCATTCTGGGTAAATACAACCAAAGCTAACGTGCTAGCCTAGCGCTAGTAGCAGAAATGGCTCGTCTGCAGATGATGAAGTTCTGGTTCCAGTAGAACTGGGTCGAAAACACCAACATACTGAGGGACACCAGCTCACCTGGCCAGGTGTTTGCTGCCTCCTGAACTGAGACGTCGGCATCGTGTTGTTAATCATCTCTAATTTAGATCTTAAAGTTTTTATTAACCTGTTACCAAGTCAGGGTGAATCAAACAGACAGAAAACAAAGTTGAGTGAAAACATAACATCTTTTCAAAATAAGTGCGATGAAGCAAACCATATCCATCATCAGAAAGAGAACTTCCTGAATATGAGTTTAATCCTTATTCATGGTGAAAGTATCATGGAAAATCAGCACTAAGAGGAATATTTAAGCTAAACATCCATTGTCTGCCTTTGCCTCTCCATGCTGGGCTGGTCCATGTCTGCTGCAGAGAGAGGCTGGGACGCAGGGCCGGCCCTAAGTGGCCGCTTAGGGCCCCAGGGGTCACTGGGGGGAACTGATTCTTATTTTTTTAGTAATGATTTATTTCTGATTATATTAACAAAACACACAACTTCATTATAAGGTTTTGATTTTCTCACAATATAT